GATTTGAAGCTTCAGGCTTTTGTAATGACAAGTTAACCTATGTTTATGTTAAACATTTTAAAAACTGTTATGGAATTATTATTTTTTTGCATTACAAATGTTAAAATTCATATATTTTACATATATTTATACCACAAATTCGCTTCTGGATATAGTCTGGGTGTCATAACTCCAAAATGTAAAGTTTACTGCAAGTTGTAAAGCAGGGTGGAAACTATTGGGAGTTATTACTCATAGCACTATCTTCTACCTCTTCTATCTTTATTTTTTTTATTGGATGAACATGTATCAATGATGTTACTTTATGTGCTTAACAAGTGAAACAATATTTGTATGGTATTGGTACAGCTTTTACATTATGTAATCCAATTAATAAAATGAGTAATAAATGTCAGTTTGAGAAGGAAGCATTGTACCCCCTCCCCTCCCAGTACCAGCCATGTCAATTTAATGATAATTTTAAAATTTAATTCAAAATAAATATAGATAGTAAACAGTAAGTAAAGTAGATATACTTTTGACTGCATTAATATTATAATAATCCTAAGGAACATTTAAGAGGTATTTGATTCAACCTCATCACTGCAATCCCCTGCCAAGTTCAAAGCAAAGTGCAGCTGAGTGGAGTCTTCCTGCACAAACACAGTTTTAAAATACATCCCTTAATGCATTTCCCTTTTTCTAGTTTATAACATCCTGCCCACACATTATTCACTTCTGACTATTTCATCTGCCAAGCACCTGATATTGATTCCTGTTTTCACTGATGACGATTCAGAAGATTAGATTCTGGCTTACATGTCTCCATACTTGACCACTTTGATTGGTATCTCTGAGACTATGTTGAATCTCTCTAATGTTTTTTTTAATCATGAAAAGTTATTTGCATGCTTGATCTTTGTCAGTTTGTTCACTTGTATTGGATAATTGTAAATTGCTTGAGGGCTGCAATTACTTCACGGTTATGGATTCCAGGGGCTTGAAGATGGTGATAAATGCTGTGGAAGTTTTAGGGATTATCAGCCAGGTACTTCATGTTGACTTCTTTCCTTTATCTGCAAATGCAGAGATAGTATTGCATCCTGAAAGTGTACTAAACCCAGGCAAAGCACAACTGCACTCTGGGCCTAAGCTTGAAATATTGCTGTAGGCAGTGATACTTTGGGTGTGATGAGCAGTGCCAGCTAGCACACAGAGTTCTTTTAGCCCAGTTGTGGAAAGCCCACATACTGTGCTGATAGCAACTGCTAACTTGTCTGTGTCTACAGTCCTGGTTGGTGTTTTCTGTAGCCCTTATGAATGATGTTTTGTAGGTGAAAGGAAATTTTTGAATCCATTTCTTCATGGGACACTCTGTCATACAGATTGATAGATGTACCTTCTGTATACAAGATTTTTTTATTAACATTTGCGACAACCTCTCAACCTTTTGACTTACATTGGTGCCCACAGGTGAAATAGTTGTTGCTTATTCTCATAGAAAGCTTTTTCAGCTCTTTAGCATTGTCCTTGACAGCATCACTTTCATTTTAACTCCAGTTCCTCATTTCTGGTATGTAAAGTTCTTAGAAGATCTATGTCCTAGACTGTATTTAGTCTTCTGACAGCACATTCAGACATCAGTTTTTGTACATGGGAAGAAAAGGTACCTGAGAAGTAACCCTCAAACTCTATCTCATGGAGCTTTTCAGGTGAAATTTTGACTGACAGTTTTGTCCAGGATTATTTGAAGTAGGCATTTGAAAAGAGATATTCTAGTTTAGTGGAAAGATCCTTCCAATGTGCTGTTGCTTGGATTATGGTCAGTGTTGTCATATGTAGCTAATGGGTGTTGCAAAATAAATCACATTTTTTTACCTGAAGTAATGATGAACTTGGTAGGACCACGAATATCATCACTTGTGAGAAAATGTCATTTCAACATACTCTTGGGTGTTTGACTCTTTGAATTTATTTTTTATTTGTGAAAACTTTTGAATCATGGTGCTCTCTAGAACTCAGGTTCATGTTGCATGTGCTACCTTCGAAATGGCTCAGAAACTAGTCGCAGACATGCTCCAAGAATTC